ATTTTGATTTTTTTCATGGATAGATAGCCCAAAGTATCCTCTTTAAAACGGGAGTCAAGCGAGGTTCTTATCTTCGATCATTTAGGTCTGATATTGGCCCGGGATCGATATTCCTTTAGGTGTGTCAATCCTGAAAATGATTGAAAACCTCTAGGTTATAAAGTTTCTCTACAATTCTTTAATCAGTTTTTGAGATGTCATTAGTTTCAAATGGTCTGATGAGAAAAAACGATTTTTGTCTTGTTGCGGCTCATCTCATCTTACAAAATTGCACAAGACAAGATCGGTTCTTCATTTGTAGTGCCGTGTCTCCGAATTTGCTTTGATCATTTTTTCTTTGGTGCTATGTATACGAAGAAGAGATTATTCACATACGTAGCACCCAAAGAAAAAATGATGTCCCGTCCTGCGCAATCTTGTAAGATGAGATGAGGCGCAACAAGACAAAATTCGTTTTTTCTCACCATTTGAAACTAATAACATCTTAAAAACTGATTAAAGAATTGTGAAGAAACTTTTATATCTTTTTACATTTAGTTGTTGTATTTTTGATGCCATAACGGTGAAATACTATTTCAGAGAAAATTGTCATCAGTCCATCTTCATTTATCTATGATAAATAGATGAAGAAAGACGTTCGAGAACTCCGTTCCATCCACCTGTGATCGGTACAAAAATGATAAGTTATTAAATCGATAAAACTAGACATTTGTATGCTGTCATAAAACTTTTCATTAAATTACTTTTGAAAAAAGTCGATTTACGGTACTGAATTACTTTTAAAGTGAATGCTGAGTAAAGAAACTAGATGCTATGCGAGATCTGCGAATGCGGTGCGAAGCGAGACACCGATCGTTAGACTTTGCAGTGAAGTAGGTTGGATGGATTTTGACTGGATTATTAATTTTTTAATTTTTGATGAAAATAATCAAAAATGAGTTATTTCACCTAGTATAGTTTCCCACCCGATTCTTGCATTTTGTTCTAAAAACTAACATTGCGACGAGATTCAGCATAGCCGATAACACATGTTTTCATTCATTTCTGACAGTCCCAAACCTAACGACAGAGGAGTGCTCAGGCTTCAGGGAAAACGTCTATAGCTCCCGCACCATGGATTCCAAGATGTCGCTTACATCCAGTTTTGTAGAGGACACTTCAGACTATATATCTATGAAAAAACATGCACAGATTTCTATGTCAGTTTTCAGAGAACTGTACTGGTTTTCCACAGATCTCCTGGAAAACTAGTCTTTGAGATTTTTTCCAAATTCGTTTTTGCTTATGAAAACATAGCTTCAAGTCTTACCTATATTGAATAAAGGGCTGGGTGAGCCGGGTGGGGGAAGATATCAAGTCCAAGTCGAGTTCACAGTTCATTTCGAGTCTAATAATGTTTTAGATTGTTGTTTTACACACATACACCATTTATTTTACATCTTCCTTTTTACTAATTTTATCCCACAATAAGTTTGATAATTTCTACTTTTTGTGCATCTTTTAGCGACGCAAAGTGTTAATATTCATTTAGAATAAAGTGCAGTAGTAATCACAATATTGAGAGCGAATAATGTTCTCGATATCAAATGAGTGGATGTAAGCTAGGCTATCATCGAATTCCATGATACATTTAAGCATGGCTCACATATGAACTCAAAATAACAAAAATCAAAATTTCTGTTTATTTACCCTTAAAACTTGAATCAATCGGACTCAACGTATATAAAAAAACTCAAGTTCGAGCCTAATTCTTTAGAAAAAAATCTTCAGTTGTATTCATTCGTCCAGCCCTGATCGAAAGACGTTGAGTCTATCTTCATTTGATACAGTTGTTTGCGAGTTGAAAAAATACATGTTTTATTTAACTAAAATTTTGGAAAAAAAAATGAAAGTTGTCAAAGAACGCTCGATTATACGTCATTTGACTCAAAATTTAGATTTTTTGCAAAAAGATTTGACATTTTATTCAAAACAAGAAAAAGTGAAAATCTATATAAAAAAAAAAAAAAACGAAAACGAAAAAACAAAATAGTTTACAGATCATTTTTATCATGTGTCGATTGTGCCAATTGTCGTTGTTGTAATTTTTTTTGATAACTTTCAAACATGGACTCTGTTCCAGCTGGAATCTCTTGAATATCTCGTCTTATTTTAGCCATAACATGTCGTCTATTGTATGTATGATTTTTTAATGTAATAAATGATAATATACCTAATGTAATTGCAATACCAATACCAATAAAGATATTTGTATGTTTTCTCCCCAACTGACGCGGAAATAGCTCTTTATTATTCATACTTAAACGTGAATCAGACATAGTTGATGACAATTGTTAGTAAACAGAGATTAATATATAAAAATCGATTTTTTTCAAACAATATTATCTGAAAAGAATATTACATTGTACAGATTGAATCGTATAATTTTCAACTTTCTCATCTCAGAAAAAATTTTATGAATACTTTCGCATCTCATTGCTGTGTATTGAAACGGGAAAAATAACGACATACTAAATTTTTTTATTTCACTTGATATAGAAATAAAACAAACCATATCAAACTATGTCAGCGGGTTATCATATAATTGACCTAATTTGCAAAAAACAAAAATATTAAAAAATAGGAAAAAAAGAATAGATATTCAAAAAAAGAAACAGACTAAAATTTCGTTTCACATGAACATGTGCCATCTTTGAAATGATGAGTGCTTGCTATTATATCTCGAATAATAATATTTCGTTTTTTCAATTTTGACATTCGTTTTGTGAATTCATGACATTGTGAACAATCGCTCTGATAACACGTAATTTGAATTAGATCAGATGATTGAGAAGTTTCTACAAAAAAAGAAAAATGATAAACAATTTTCAGGAAAGAAAGTAAATATTAACAGACATTTGAACGATCGATAGTTGACGATTTACAATGAGATGTTTCTTACGATTAACAAAACTGAATAGATTTTGTGCTTCTCATCAGAAAAACTACACTATACATATCGAGGTGAATATTTAGTCAAAAATTAAAAGTGAACCTTTTCTGGCAGTAGAGTCTCATGCTCTATATCCCCAACGGGATGTATAGCGCGTTTTGAATCAAAATATATCCCGATCGGGATATAGTCAAAAAACATATAGCCCGATCGGGATATAAATTCGGTTTTTTAAATAAAATTTATTAGCGAAAAAATGATGATGTTCGCGGAAAATTTTGACCATACTGCCGAAAACGGTGTAAAAGACTGTATCAGATTCTTTTTTCCTTGTGACCAAGTCTTTTTTCCGGTCAGCAACCTTTTCTTAAATAATTCCTGAGGTTGATATTCTATATTCCGATCAGGATATTTTACTTTTTTTACTAGCTATTTTTAACACTTTCTCGAAATATCTTGATATTTTCTCTTACTTTGAACATACATAAGATAACTACATCCAGTGTAACATTTGGTTAAAGTCACGCTCGTCCACCGTGATTCGTCGCCCGCGCAGCGACGACGAATCACGGTGTGTTTACAAAAAAGGTTTTCGGATACGTAAATTGAGTTCAAAAGTTTAAAGTTTTAAAAATACCCAAGCGTTTTCATCACTCAAGTTCCTGTAGCTGATATGTTGTGTTCTATATTACCTTTGTGCTACGAGTATCACATTAATTAGCTTTTTAGCGGTTTTAAACTACGGTCCTATTGTAAGAAAACTATATCAGGATACATTTTTATATCCCGATTAGGATATGGCTCCTCACTGTCTGGATTGAAATATATTCTAAGAAATGGACTAATAAGACGTTTTATTCGAGCTGTTATCCATCATGAGAAAATACTTAGCTAACCATCAGCATATAAACGTAATGCTATATGATAAAAAATTTTTTAAAGCTAACTAAGTTTCTATCGATGAGTGACCTGAATTTGCCTAAACTTCAATCCGATTCAAAAACGTATCAAAATGTTCATTTTATATATGATGAATGTGGCTTTTCGAAAACCACTGATTTTCTAGGTAAAATCTGTTTTGTTTTGTTTCAAGAATGTCTTCTATAAAGAAAATACGGCGATTATTTGTAATCAGCACCCAAAACTACATCAACTGCGTGTAGTGCAAACATTTTTTCCAGACTAAGACATGTCATCTGAACTCTAGTCATACATTTTTAATTAAAAAAACAAAAGTTTTCAGAATAAGAATTTTTTCTTGTGAAAAAATACTATTTACACGTATAGAGAGTCATTTTTAAGTTAAAAATAATTATGTTTAATAATAAAAAACTTGGTATCCGTCTGCTTAGTGAAAAATATTCAGTGTGACGAGGAGAGGAGACGTGTAATGAGGGAGTTGATTCGAAAACTTGAAAATCTATGAGATGAAACTTGGTGTATCAATATATTATAGTATATTGAGTGAACAGTGAGTGACAAAACACTGTTCCAAGTGTTATGGTCTGATACACTGGTATATCTACGCTTTGCACTTTATGCTGTTTTACCACACACCCTCATATCTTGCAATGCCCTCGGATGTTCTCATCCCGTTATGGAAGCCTGTAAACTGATCTTGCAGTTCAAAGCCTAGTCTATGAAGAATACATGCTTCAGCCCATGTGCAGGTATCTGCGCTTTATTTTCCACTAGTAGAGATTAAAATTTTAATCTCCATTAGTGGAATTTTAAATTCAACTGCAATATATAGCGGATGGCCCAGAATAAATGGCCCTTCTCGTATTTTGCTTATAATTTTTTTTCTTCTCAATCCCTAGACTTAACTATTTTTCCAAAAGATGCGCCGTCAAATTCTCTACAAGATTTGATCAAACTTACTTCTATACAAAGTTAAGGAGAAAAATTAAACGAAGAATACTCAACATAATGAAACGGACCAAGTTTCTAAGCTATTTTGTTTTACAAATTTTAGGATATTTTCAGCAGTTCTAAAGACAATGAAACAAAAATGAAGATATTTTTGAGTACTTTGAAGTGTGCTCTTTCTCCATAGTTAGTTCAGACTTTGTTGAAATCTAAGTGAGCACTGAAAAATCTAACATTCCAAAATTCACCTCAAAGTGGCTAAAATCTGCTATTATTCAACAGGTGAATTTATGAAAAAAGCCTTAAGCTAAGTTTCATCGTTGAATCTGGCACAGGTGTCATTTCTCATCAAAATAAAAAAAGACAGTTAAAAAGGTGTTATTTTGGCTTCATTATGCAATATTTTTCGGGAGCTCCGAATCTACACATTCAAATAGCTGGATTTTGCAAAGTCTCAAAGAGGAGAAAACCGATGTAAGCCTCAAAGATTCGATTTTGTATTTGTGCATCTAATACTGATTCATAGAAGTTTTCAAGAACTACAAAATCCGTATATTCTTTTCTTTTTATCAATGTCAGATCTGGCTCAAATGTTAGTTAATTGTTTGCTATGAATTTATATCAGACACATTGATTCACTCTACTATATTTATTACCTAATAGATTGTAGACTAATGCTAATTTAAGACTATGTGTGCACTGTTGTGTTCGATCGATTTCAGGTTCTAATTTTGTTAATTCATTATAAATTTCTGGATAACGTTCATCATTATCAACAAATGTATGTAAAGTATTATTAACTAATGTCAAAGAATCTCCAAGTCGTCGAACAAAATTTTCATGTTCCCATAATTGAATTTTAACATCTCGATATGTAATTCTATCAGGATTTTCAACATTTAAACGAGGATTTCTATCTAAAATATCTTGTAATTTATTTTTACGTTGTTCTTCGTTTAATGATGAGTTACTGTTGATAGATGCAAATAGAATATACCATAATTTTGATAATGGATGATTAAATACTTGTTCAAATTCTTGAATTAATAATTCACATTTATCATATTCTCCACACTGAGAATATATATCAATCTAAGAAGATTAAAAAAATGTATATCAATTCATATAAAATAAATTTATTATTTTAACATACCATAATTACGTATATTTCTGTACTTCGATACTGTTTATTCATTGATTGAAATATTTGTTTTGCTTCTTGTATTAATTTTGAAAATTGACATGCTCTTAATATCAATACATATGTATAAAAATCTAGTTTAATATCATTTAATTTCATTTGTTGAAATATTTTTAATGCATCTTGTCCACGTCCATTTATACCATATACATTGATCATTGTATTATACACTTTTCCACTCTGTCGTTTATTTAGATTATCAAATATTTGTCTGGCTCTTCTAAAATCACCACATTTTCCAAAAAGATCAATGAGTGTATTTTGAATGTATGGTGTTCGTAAAACTGATTCAGGTAATTCACAATAAATTTGATTAGCCAATTTTAACATACCAATTTTTGCATAGGCATTTAATACACATAAATATCCAACTTCATCTAATTGAAATAAATTATCTAAATATCAAAGATAAATTATTTTTGTTGTTTTTTTTATTATAATTTTTCTTTAATATTTCATACTATACCTCTTTTAATCTGTTTATACATTTCCAATGTTTTTTCTGGCATATCATTATGTGTATAAGCTTTCATCATTGTTGAATACATATATAAATTATGAAGTTTTGGATTAATGGCTTGAAATACTACTTCACATGCTTTTAAATCATGAAATTTTGAATACATATCAATAAGTAGTGTAGCTAAATAATGATCAGTATTTAATTTATAATAAAGTATTTCTTGATGAAGTAGTCGACCACGTTCTTCAGCATTCAAATTTTTACACGCTTTAATTATATAAGCATAAATTTGTGCACCGGGACAAATTTCATCCGAAGAAGAAATAGCTTTCATTTCATCGTATAAGTCTAAAAATATATAAATATATATATATTATAAGCGATAGGTTAATACATTCTTATGATGACAACGTAAGAAAGTTCTAACGGGTAGGTTCAGAGGAAATGAACCTTTTAATGTTTTTTATCTTTTTTTATGTTCCTTTAAGATCTTAAGATGAATGTTTTTTCTAAAAGATGCGCCACGAAATACTCTACAAAATCATATCTAAACTTTAATTTCAGAACTTCAATCAAGAAAACTGAACAAATTATAGAAAAGGCGAAAAAAATGAAAACTTCTTAAATTTAGTATTTTTTTCCCACTTGAACATTTTCTTCTGCTATTATTTCCGTAAAAAAGTGTAGTAAAAGTGAGAACTCAGTTCTTTTTGTACTTTTGAATGTGCTCTTTCTCGTGGTTTGTAAAAAAATGTTTTTAGAGCAGACGGTGTATTCGAGAACGAAGTTTGAAAATACGTCAAAAATTGACAACCTCTCGTTTCCAGCAATGTGCTCAAGCAATAAACGTAAAACATGATGCATGTTTAGATTTTGCAGTTAAGTAGAGAAGAGCGATCATTTCTGATCAAAACAAAACAAATTCGATCAAAAAATCTTTTGTTTTGATGAAGTTATAGAATTTTTGCTGAGAGCACCACCATACGCAGAATTTAAAAAATTAATGAAAAATGCACGACAACTGACAGAAAAATTATTATTTCATCGTGAATTTTCATGTGAAAATTTTTAAAGTGTAACTAAAAGATAGAACAAAGTCAGGGCTACAAAATGGCTAATTCAGTTTTTCTCACTTTCAAAACTTTAACACAAGAAATCGTTTTTGAGTTTAGAAAGTTTTCATTTTTTCCGCCTTTCGTATAATTTGTTTAGTTTTCTTGATTGAAGTTCTAGAGCTAAAGTTTAGATATGCTTTTGTAGAGTATTTCTCGGCACATCTTTTAGAACAAAACATTAACCTTAAGGTCTTAAAGGAACACGAGAAAAATAAAAAACACCAAATGGCTTATTTCCTCTGGCCCACCCGTTACTACAAAAAACAAGTTTTCAATACATTAAACAATAATCACACTTTAATTCACTTTTTGACACAATTCAGATAATCAATAAACTTTTTCTGATTTTAGATCAATTACTTTAGATAAATTGCTTATTTTTACCTAATATTTTCTTGTACATATGGCTCAAATCATATGATTTCATTAATATTGAATAATCATATTCTGTTGGTCTTTCTATTTCATAAAATATTTTTTCAGCTGATTGAATATCGCCACTAAAATATTCAAAAAAGATTTGTTTAATATAAACAGATGGATTATCTAATAACATACCATTGACCATACATATGCATCAGAGAAGTTCGTAAACGATTATCGGACGCTACTAAAGGATTTGTCCGAATTAATTCTTCATGTATTTGTTTACCTAGAATAAAAAACATATAATTTTTCTTTCAATTTGTTTTAATTTTCAAAATTTATAAAATACGACGAACAGTTACCTTTTATAAGTTTTTTCATATCAGCACAGACGTTGAGCACTGTTGTTAGAGTAAATTGATCTGGTATGATGCCACGTTGAATTTTTTGATCAAATAATGCCAAAGCTTTCGATCCTTCACCATTTTTGTTCATATTTTTCATATGGGATGTCAATATTTTATTTTCAGTTATCTGTTTTTGATAACTGGATGATCGTTGATAGAGTGATGCAGACGACTTTGAGATAACATCTGGTTGAGCAACAGCAGAGTAGAAACGATCTGCTGATGAAAATCCATAATTGTATTTTAATAATGATGTAAGTAATCGACGCGACATGAGACACCGAGATTTCTACAATACCAGATGTTCTATAAAAATAGATAAATCCATTATCTGCATTAAGACTACACTGAATATTTCAAAAGAGATCATGCGCAGTAAAACGAGTTCTCAAAAATCATCTTAGCTAGCTTTAGATATTGTTAATTTTTCGTGTGGATGCTTACAGAATACTTAGTTATGAGCCATCCTTTGATCATTCCTGGTCTGGTAGAACGAACTTTGCAAATGTAACAGAACTAAAAGAAAATTTAACATTTAAGCGGAACTAGGAGATAACATTACTCTCTCATATTCTCAACGGAGTATCGATCATTAACTGGAAATAAGCAATTGAAAATAAATCAAAAAAAATTCAATCGATCTATACACCAATTCCATAATAAGGTATACTATGGAAGTGTGAAAATCTTTATTATAGTCGAATAGAAAGTTCAGATAGAGCCTTTGCAATAAATAGCAGTTAAAGCTTGTAGCGTTCGCTATATTTTATTTATTTGCTAATAAGTTTTAAAAATCAACGAAGAACTGGCAAAGAAAATGGTACTAGTAACTGCTTTTTCCTAAATGAGAGAGACACCTATACTTAGTCAACTTTTCTCGATTAAGTAATTTTCGAAATTGTACTAAAGCTGTTTTTCAGACCAAAAGGTACTTAGAGTATGTGTTTTCATTTATGTGAAGTGCTCCTTGTTTTCTTCTCACTGTGACCGGATCAAATGTCCAATTGGTAAAAAGTGGAAAAATGGCTAACTATGCAAAGCGAAGTATAAAGGTTATTAAAATTCTATCGCTTGTTTGCGTTGCTTGTACTGACATATGTCGAGCTTTTCTCTAGAGTATATTCTGCACAAATCACTGTTCGAGTATTATATTATTTTCTGCAGCAGTTGCTTATTATGTGCTCTTGATTTTCTAATTTGTAGTTGTTTTCTTTATATCGCCTAAAATATCCATCAGCCATGTAGAAAAACTTTAATCTTTAAGCTTCTACGATGTTCTCATAAAACTAACAATGTGTAGAGAAACAAAGCGGCCGAGATAAGCTAAAACGAAAATGACGCTGACAGATACTACGCACGAATGTTAATGATGTCGGTATTATTTTTATTTTAGCTTATCTAACAATAAAACAAAAGAATTGCTCCAGAATTTCCTTATATTTCTGAGTCGCTGATACATTTTTATTTGAGCGTACTATTGTTTTATACAATGTGTTTGAAGCCATTGTAAAAAAAAAGACAGAAGAATAAACTGAGACTGAAAGGGGTCCAACTTGTTTTACTATTTTCGCTACATTCAATTTTACATTACCAAATTTTATCCAAAGATCGAATGTACGTTTTAGACACTGAATCACTCTATACATTTAAGCATCGTTCCTTCTCATCTCATTTTGTAACCAACTTATTTTCGAATACATTTAGTATTATATTTTACCGTTATTATCTCCAACGTATGATACAGGCAGATAACCTAACCGTATCTTCTTGTAAGTAAAATTCTTACTATGAGAAGTGAAAACTTTATTCTATAATCTCAAGTTTTAAAGTGTCTATGTATTCTTATGTCGATAATCTTCCACTTTGTAATTTTATACTGGTACCATAATAATTGTTTTAAACAAATAATCTTCGTTATTCTAGATGTTATTTCTGTTATTTTCTATAATAAACTTTTTTACTATGTTTCTTAGTTTAATTATTCTATGATGATGTTTAAATAAAAAATTTGTTTATTCAACTATATTTGTTTTGATTGAAGTTGTAAATGTTTGTTTTTAGTACTATTTAAACTAGTGTTTTTCTTTATGCTTTCTGTCTATCTTTTTAATCTTTTGACGCTTTTAAAAGCACGCGTTCTGTTTAGAATCCATAGGAAAACAAAGAAAGACATACATTTTATTTTGAAAAGAAAAGTAATCATTTTGTCTTCTTTTTTTTTTAAAACTGATTGATTCTCTTATGACATAAATGCGAGAGTAATTTACTCTATTCTTTTATTTCTTCTGCTTCTTTAAATGTCTGAGAAGGTTCATTTATTTTCCTAAAGAAAGTAAATCAGCTGTTTCCACAGCTGCTTTTCAAGTATGTTTCTTTCTCTCTTTGTAACATCAAAACTTGCATGTTTGTCTTGAAAAAAGTCAAATCAAATTGTATAGTGTATGTATGTCTGTTGAGATGATTCATTTGTACAGACTAACAATCGATAGATTGATCACGTATCTATCCAGAATCCAAAAATAAGTAAAAATTAGGAAGAAAAAGAAAAGTTAATTTTGTTTCCATACTATTCTCTATTTCTTTTCCTCTAGAGATATTTTGGTTTTAAAAGAATAAAATTATGAATTGAGTATATGAATAATGATTAAATCATGTAAATATTCTTAGTTGTTAAAAGGAAAAGGGAAGGGGGTGGGGGGAGGGGGAAGGGGAACTACATTAAACGTGTTTTTTTTTTCTTCTTCTTCATTTGATTAAATATGTATATACTTGTTGTAAGACACATGTTCCAAAAGAGAATGAATATAACTGAACTAAATTAAAACTAAATATATTTCCATAATATTTAGAGAACTGTCAGTTCTTACTCATTCCCTTTATTATTGTATTGCCGTTCTATCTACTGCTGGTTTGCTACAAAATGTTATTGTGTTATTTTTTGTAAATTATTTTTTCTTATGTAGGATAAAAATATAGAAAAAAAGCAAAAAAGAAGAAGAAAATAAAGAAATGAAAGAGACAGAGAGAAAAACATCAAACATGCGTGAGTATAAGGAAAGAGAATAGTTTTCTAAAGGTTTTATAGCTAATATATAGCTATATATACATAAATCGAATTTCTTGTTCTATTTCTTTCCAGATTCTTGTCTCTTATCATTTCAACTAAAGAATGAAATCATTTACATATATTTTTTATCTCAAGATTCTTGTCTGAAAATGATATCAGAGACAAGAATCTTGTAAAATATTAAAACAAGAAAATCGACTCGTATACATCGACTAAGTTGAAATTGTTTTTCGTTCTTTTTTACATTTCTCTCTATGTTGTGCGTTGAATCATTAGATATTTGATTGATAAAGAGTATAAGAATATAAATGCAAAGAAGAAAAAAAACAAGAAAACACATCTACACACACACACACACACAAAAGTAATAATATTGTCTCGTTCATCATTCAACTTCAATAGGGGTAAGATAATTCTCAACTTGATCATTGCAAATGTAATTATAAAATTTCATAGAATTAGTTTTATATTTAAAAACAATTAAACGTTTTAAATTATCATTATCAACCCTATTGTGTATATAAACAATATATTGTAACTGATTAGATCGACCTATTTCATATTTAACTGTTATTTTATACAACTTCATATTTTGGTTTAAAGAAGAGTTAAAAGAAGTTTTTAGTCGTTTTTGAAATGAAACATCTCATCTTAAAAGTCAGTAGTAGCATAAAACCGATGTATTTCTCTCAAATGTTTGTTTCTCTGTAAGAATATGTTAACATTATACGAATGTTCAACGTACAGAGTCCATCTAATAGTGAAAATGAATCAATTGAGTATTTTCATTGATGATGAAAATAATTTTTGCTCACATTTCGCCAACGTGATATTAGTTTAGTTCAATTCATTTACCTTTAGTTATCATTGTATTAGAGAAGAAGAAGACAAAAAAAATAAAACTGAAGGCTTTTTTTAGTCTGATGCCCTTCAGGTGACATATTAAGTTGTGACGGTTATATATATATGAAAAAAACAAAACAAATGAAATTGAATCATGAAGGAAACAAAATAGAAGATTATACGATATTAGTAGTTATTCACAGAAAAAAAGGGGGACGGTGAGAACATGTTTTTCTAGACACAGGTGACTAGAACAGGAAGTCGATCTTTTTTAATCTGAAAATATTGTTGTACGCATTCTCTTGAGTATATATATATATATATATATTCTCTTATTTTTCTTCATTATCATACTTTTTTTGATATTCTTTTTTTTTATTTTCTATGAACATTTGTGAGAGTTGCCAATTAGGAACAAAGAAAAGAGAAAACGTTTTTCTTGTTTGGCCATTGTGTATTGTATTCTTTTGTAAAACTTAAACAAACAGACACCCCTCCCCCCCCCCAAAAAAAGAAAAGTAATACACGAAGAGCGATTAATAATAATACCTTAATCAACGATCCTATGACTGTTCATATACACACGCCCGCACGGACAAATAGGCTAACTCAATAATCCTAAAAGATTTATATGAAAAACTCGTTTTTTTTATTATTATTGTCCATTAAAATTAAAATATTTTCGAATCATAAAACAGAAAAACTTTGTTAAAAGGTATTTATTAGCCTGATAAGTATAACTATCTCTCTTATTATTCTCGTCAGGAAACAATTATTTTCGACAACTGAGCAAACATCTGTTTTTCGTTTTTTTTTTTTTGTTGTCTATTAATTTCAATTATTGTGTGTATGGACATTTCTCTCTTATTCTCTTTTCTTTTTTTTCTTCTTCTTCTTTTGAAGTGTTTTCCACTCATGATGATCATCATCAATCTAGAAAAAATAGGTTAAATTTAGAAGACAATAGTGAATGTTTTTCTTCGTTCGAAAATCGTTTATTGTTAATTGTTTTTAAAAAATTCTCGATTTTTTTTTTTTTTAGTTTTTTATTAGTTCAATCGATGATATGAAGTGTACTGAACACTTGAGAAAAAAGAACCTCTTCTTATTTTTCTGTTGATACTTGAATAACTAGAACAGATGTTGATTAGATATTTATATAGTTCAATATCTTTCTTCTGTAGTTTGATCATCTTCTCGACGATGATTACCCATCTCTTTACTATTCATTGAACTAGACAGTCTTAAACAGACAATTACCTTGGCACACATATCTTACGCACTTAGGAACCATCACGTATTCCGTTTGGATTGACAAATTTCACAAAGCTCAGAGAGAGAATTTAAGACATAAGTAACTTGTC